CACGCAGTTTGTGACCCAGCGTCATCCGACAACCGTCATCGCGTCGTTGGATGTATTATGTGATACCTAATACTTGATCTATACATAGATATGTATCTTGCATGTACATATATGTATTTATATTTAACTATGTATCCGTAGGTCTGATGTGGAAACTCGTATCACACATATTCAACCGCAATAGTTGTATTCACAACGCATACACAGCAATATTATATATCTGGCGCACATGTCATTCGTAATTAGTTTTCACTAACGTTTCTCAACCATGTTAAAACTTTTATAAAATTTCTATATTTTAATTATTTTACTAAACATTTTATTTAAATTACATTATTTTATTTATATAATCTACATAAACTTTAGTTATTATGATATTTACAACAAGGTTAATTTATTTCACAATTTAATACATATTTTATTTTCTATATTTTCACATTTTACATTAGGCATTTACTTTAATTAAATTATATGTTTAAACAATATTTAGGCTCTGAAGATGGCATTACGCCGAAACAGCGCTGTTAGCTTTATTCCAGTTTTAGATAAATATGAACTCAAACAATACCGCTTCGTTGAATGTCTTATAAAGAAGTTAATTAATGCAAAATGGGCAAACAATTTCAATGAAATTTATATATATATATATATATATATATATATATATATATATATATATATATATATTGATTGTTGATTTTTCGTAATTTTTCTTAATTTTCGGCGTTTTTTCAGAGTGCATATTGTTCAAATTAGGTTTAATTGATAGGTTAATTAGAGAGGATTATTAATATATTTTTGTTTCTTTTAATAATTTAGAACTTAAGTAACTAATTTAATTTTTTTAGTTTAAATCTTAAATAAATACGTTTCTGTTAAATTGTAAGCTATCACTCCTTGTTTTTTAGACGTATTGCACTGTTTCGGTTGTTCTGTTATTTTGTCTGGAATATCAACAGTGATTTGAAAAAAAATTTTGGTCATTGTTGTTGCAGAATATAAAACTACCTTGGCTGTCGCTGAAACGGCTTCGACAGTGCAGCTGCTGCATCGTGCTAAAGACCTGTATCTACCACTGCATTTTCTCCATAGACTTCGTTTGTGTGCTCGATTAAGACATGTCTAAAACAAGATCTCAGAGAAGTCAATCAATTCCGGAACCTGCATCTGTAAAGGATGATAACATATTATGTTGTGTATGTGATGCGGTGGTTCAAATCGAGTCATCGGACTTATATGATGAATTGGCGAAATATGCTAGCAAAAGTAAAAACATGAAGTTTTATTGTGATAATTGCGTGAAACATGCTGATGGTTTCAAAGGTCTTTTGCAGATGCTTAACAAAAAATTTGAATCCATTGATTCTCGTCTTAAAACGTTTGATTCCATTGATATTGGGATGAAAAATCTGCAGTTGATGCTTGAGTCAAGCGATGAGAACCTAAAACAGTTAGAAAAATTAGACGAGAAACTTAACCAGTCTATTAATTCCTTGAAAAACGATATCACCAAGTCTTGGTCAGACGTGGTAAAGAGTAATTCTAAAATTGTCGATAACGAGGCTGCTTCTTTGAGAAATATGATCAGTACTTCATTTTCCGATGTGGTAAAAAAGAACCTCGACGTAGTTAGTAAAGAGGTCATTTCTGTTCGCAGAACAATTGAAGTGGCAAATGAAGTTAAGGCCCGTGAGAACAACATAGTTCTCTTTAATTTCAGCGAAGACTTGGATGTTGCTAAAGATAGGGGTAATGTTCTTAGCTTTTTAAGGTTCCTAACAGACGAGTCTCTGAAAGATGATGACATATTGAAAATATTCAGACAACGTAAAAAGCCAAGCGTATCGTCTCCCTCGCGTCCAGTGATTGTTAAGTTTATAAACCTTTCTGCAAAAGTCCTGGTTATGAGAAGATTATTCAGATTAGCGATGCTGGATGAAAAAATGAGAGAAGTGAGGATTAGTGATGACCTTACAACGGACCAGCGTCTGCAGCTTAAAAAATTGGTTCTTGAGGCGAAAACGCGGGAATCTAAAGATGGTCATTTTTTATATCAGGTCAGAGGTGTGGTCGGGCAATGGAGAATAGTGAGATATCCAAGGCCTGCTACCAAACCGGATTAAATTTGGGATTGCTTAATATTAGATCCATTCGGTCAAAATATGATATAATTCATGATTTGTTATCAAATGATTTCGATATATGTGTACTGACCGAAACATGGCATGGATCATCTGATGATATTTCTGTGAAATTGGCTATGCCTTATGGCTTCTCATTTATGGACTATTTGCGCCCACACGACTCTAATCATGGAGAAATAATTGTATATTTTAAGAATGTTTTCAAGGTTAAAAAAATAGAATTACCAGTGGTAAATTCCTTTGAATCACTTGCCATTAAATTTCGGTGCGGTAAAAAAACGATTCTGTTATTGGCAGTTTATCGACCGGGTTCTGTACCAATTACTCCTGCATTTTTTGATGAGTTTACATCACTCTTGGAGCAGATTTCGTTATTGGCGGACTATGTCATTCTTACGGGGGATTTGAATGTTCATTGGAAAAGGTTGGAGATACTCATTCAATCCGGTTGGTAGAAATTTTTCATGCATTTAACCTTGAAAATAGAGTTAAGGAAACTACCCATGTGCATGGTGGTATCTTGGATCTAGTGGTATCCTCAATGGAATTGCCTGTGTCCTCATGTACCGTAGGTCCATATGGTATTTATTCCGATCATGGTCTGGTCCAAGTATGTTTTTCGATTCCGCTAAATTATTTTGTTAGAAAAAAAAGACTGGTTCGTTCATGGAATCGTGGGGATTTTGATAAATTTGCCGCGTTAATAATAAACTCGCCTATTAATGGACCTTTTAAATCAGATGATCCTGAATACTTATTTGATCTTTACAAAAAAGAAGTTAAAAATATTATAGATATTGTTGCACCGAAACACTATGTGATGACTAGAAATAATGCTGCTTCGCCTTGGTTCGATGAAGAGTGTAGGCAGACTAAGCTACGCTGCAGAAGACTTGAAAGAGCTTATCGACTTAATCCTGGGGATTGTAGCAAGAAAAGTTTCGTTGATGCTATGTTGAAGAAACAGTCATTGCTCTCAGAAAAAAGGAAAGCCTACTGGAGAAACATGATTGAAATAAATGGCTCCAATCCAAAGAAACTCCGGATGAAAATTAACAGGGTTTTTTGCAAGACGAATTCTGTTGATTCGCTTAATGTGTCAGATAAGTTAAATTCTGATGATTTTGCTCAATTTTTTAAAGATAAGGTTGATAACATACTAGAGACGAGCCTTGCATCAAAGAGCCTATTGTTTCAAACAATCGGATGAGTGAATGTGCTGAACTTTCATTATTTCAGTGCTATTCCAGTGATGAGATTCGTCAAGTTATTTTGGATTCATCTACAAAGTCGTGCCCACTGGATGATTTGTCAACTAAAATACTTAAAAAATACGTTCATCTGTTTCTCCCGTTTTTGACTGTTTTTGTAAATTTATGTTTAACTTATGGGCATTTCCCGATGGCTTTTAAATATTCAATTGTTGTTCCGATGTTAAAAAAGCAGACACTAGACAAGAATAGTTTATCAAGTTATAGACCGGTGTCAAATCTAACATTTTTGTCAAAAGTTATTGAACGAATTGTCCACAAACAGCTAATTTGTCATTTAAATCATAATGATCTGCTACCAAAATGTCAGCCAGGATTTAAAAAATTCCATTCAACTGAGACAACACTGATAGATGTTTCATCTGAGTTGTTTGCTGCTATTGATGATCAAAATATCTCAATCTTGGCATTACTTGATGTTAGTGCAGCCTTTGATTGTGTTTATCACGAGATTTTACTTGGAAAGCTACGTCAATGTTTTGGAATCTCAGGTGTTGTTCTTATTTGGTTCGAATCATATCTCTCTGCGCGAAAACAACAGGTATTACGCAGAGATGTTTTATCATCTGTTCAGGAAGTAAAGCATGGTGTACCGCAAGGCTCAGTACTTGGACCGCTGCTGTTTTTGCTATACACTGCTGACGTTTTCGACATCATTGATTCATTCAGGTTCAAGCATCATGGGTTTGCAGATGACATACAAATCATTGTCAGTGGTCCAGCTACTTCATTTCAAGCTCTTGTTGAAAGATCGGTCGGTGCATGGAGGCGATTGATTCTTGGATGATCAAGCACAAACTCAAATTGAATCAATGCAAAACCCAGTTATTGCCAATTGGTACGTGGCAGCAAATAAACAAATTAAATTTCACTTCGATTGAGATTAACAACAGTAAGATTGAATTATGTCAAGTTGCTCGTAATCTTGGTGTTGTATTCGATAGTAATATGACAATGGAGTGCCACATAAAGTCGCTAAATGGTGAATGTCATCGACAACTTCGCATGATGAGGGCTACAAAAAATTCACTTAATGAGATTACCCTAAAGAGTTTGGCTCACGCGTTTATTCACTCGAGGCTGGACTATTGCAACAGCCTTTTTTACGGTGTCTCCATGTTGGAAATTTCCAAACTACAGTCAATTCAAAATCGCATGGCCAAACTAGTTGTCGGAGATTTTAGATCTGATCATGTGACGCCGATTTTACGGGATCTGCACTGGCTTCCGATTGAAAAGAGAATTATCTACAAGATTGCTGTTTTGATGTTCAAAGTTTTAAATGGGCGTGCTCCTCCGTACTTGGTCGGTAGATTGACTAAACGTGATTCAACGTCTGGTTATCCAGGATTGATATCCAATAATAGGAATTTGCTGGGCGTTCCTCAAACCCGTTTGGTGACTGGTAAAAGAAATTTTGCTGTTGCTAGACCGATGGTGTGGAATAATTTGCCAACCTCACTCCGTCTACCTGGAATATCATTTCCTCTATTTTGTAAACAATTAAAGTTGCTGCTTTTTAAGCAGCATTTCGGTTCTTGTAATTAAATGTGATTATGAAAATGAAATTTTTATTTTTTTTTATTTTTTATGTTCTTTATTAGTCGGTACGGTACTATCATTATGTTGTTTTAATTCTTGTGTCGGTTGTTGTGAGGCTTGTTGATTATTGCGTTGAATTTTTGTACATAACTAGTAACTTGTGTGGATAAATCCTAAAATTCGTCATTTGAATTAGTATTACTTCTTTTTGGTCGTCTATTTATTTATTGATTTTGTGTTAAATATATGTGTGTTTTGACATTTAACTGAGTGACAATCAACTTTATTTCTTTTGTCTTATTTATTTTTTCTTGCACTTATTGTAGGCGCTTTTGAGATTTTATTAAAAAGCGATTTATAAATTTTCATTTAATAATAATAATATATCTTAAACCAATATATATATATATATATATATATATATATATATATATATATATATATATATATATTAGAATTCATTCAATGCTATATTTACATATATTAATATATGTATGTGTATATATATATATATATATATATATACATATATACATAGGATCCAGACTATCAGATTTACATTTGTTTAGGAAAGTCACAGCATTTTTAGCGTTGTTTAATTTTCTATTTAATTTTTCAATCTTTCTTACGATGAATTTCAGTTGATTATTAAGTTATCAACTATATATATATATATATATATATATATATATATATATATATATATATATATATATATATATATTATATATATGTATATAATATTGACTTGTTCCTTTTTATTTATGTTGTGTTTGCTCTCCAAAATTCACAATAACGCCTTATA